AAGGCACCATCCCCAATGTAGGTCACTGAGTTCGGGATGGTCAAGTTGGCCAAAGAGCTGCACTCCCAAAAGGCTCGAAACCCAATGTGGGTCACTGAGTTCGGGATGGTCAAGTCTGACAAAGATTTGCAATTATAAAAGGCCTCGTCGCCAATGTGGGTGACCGACTCCGGAATGGTCACGTTTGCCAATGTTTGGCAACCCTGAAAAGCTCCTTTGCCAATTTCTGTTTCATCATCTGGAATTTCGACCACAAGCAACAGTTCTGGGTCGACGATGCCGCCGAGACTGATCCCATCTTGGTTGGAGCATATCACTACATTTGGCTTGAAGACAACACTCACTACAGTATCTTCAGAAATTCCGGCGTCCAATACCTTTACATCGTTCGCCAGCAAGAGGTTGTTTCCGACAATGATCTCTACACTTGTAGTGCTGCGAGTGAGCTCGTCCCAAGGCTGTCCCTCCTTGATCTCCTGCTTGAGTGCCCAGCCTGTTGTCTCTGGTGTGACTTCAAAAAAAATGACTTCACCACTCGGCTGCAGCGCTGAAATTCGCTTCACCATGGCTCACAGACCGACGGACCTGGGACTCTTTCACATCATGTCTTATCCTTTGCCAAAGTCCGGCGACACCATGGGGGACATTGGAGGAGCCTTAACACGGAGATGCTTGAACTCTTTGTTAAACAAGGGCATCGCTATTTGTAACAAGGGCATCGCTACTAGAAGCTAGAAGCTACTAGTAACACGGGGATGATTGAACTCTTTTTTGAACAAGGGCATCGCTATTAGTAACAAGGGCATCGCTACCAGAAACTAGAAGCTACTAGTATCACGGGGATGCTTGAACTCTTTTTTGAACAAGGACATCATTATTAGTAACAAGGGCATCACAACTAGAAACTAGAAGCTACTAGCAACACGGGGATGCTTGAACTCTATTTTGAACAAGGGCATCGCTATTAGTAACCAGGGCGTCGCTACCAGCAACTAGAAGCTACTAGTAACACGGGGATGCTTGAAGTCATTTTTGAACAAGGGCATCGCTATTAGTAACAAGGGCATCGCTACTAG